TTTTGAAAAGAGAGGGATAGTCTATTATCATGAGTAACTAAAAATTATTTTTGAAACTAGCTTCCAAAATGATAAAAGAATAAAATTTTGTTACGTTATTTTTATTTTGATCTGCTCTTTAGTTAAACAATAATTATCCACTACTTTCGAATTGTTAAATTTGACAAGAGTTGTTTCTCCTCTGTTAGTATTCTCTTATTTTTCCACTTCAGCAAGTATTTGTTGAGCCCCTACTATGTGTAGATTTCCTACTATGCTGAAAGTGATCTTCCATATTTCTTTCCTTCCTTCTTGCCTTCCTGCTGTTCTTGCCCTTCTGCCTTTTCTTTGCTCCTTTCTTCTATCTTAGCTTCCTTCCTCATTGGTAGCTCACTCACACCTCATTGGTGTGCTGTCAAGAGGGAAAAAGGGATGTTGGTGTGGATCCTGCACTGTCTTCCAACAAGCAAAACTACATAGCGTACCATCTAATTGTTTCTAATAGACATAAGGTCTTGATACTTCTTATAATTGAACTCCTTTTTCTAATTTTTTCACTGCCTTACTTGTAGCTCTTGGAGGGTTGACATTCAATCACATTTGCTGAACTGAAATGGGCTTAAATGCAAACTATTAGCATTGCAGAGAGTAGAGGTTCAGAATGAATTTGGGAGGGAGGCACAAAATTGTGCATGGCCTCAGATCCGATGGCAATCCTAATTTATCTTACAAAGCTTCTGGAAGAAAGTGATATTCTTTAAAATCCCTTAACTCATCTTAATCCTAGAAATGTAAGTAATAATCAGGGAATGCAATGAGAAGGGAAATAGATGGTTTGTGAGTTCTCTTGGGTGAATAAGCTTGGTGTAGTTGATATGAGGTGGCTTATGGGTAGGAACAGGGCTTTAGAAGCTGATGGGTGATTTGAAGGCTGGCTCTTCTTCCCTTTGCTACTTCTCTTTAAGGTGAATTTCTCATGTGAGAAATGGGGATATTAATTTCCAAGATTATTGCAAGAATTTCAAATAATATGTTTGAAATATTTCATTTATACACATGAGGTGTGTAATAGGACAGCTATTAAGAATGCATTTCTGTTTGTATTGCTCCTTTAAGAATTTAGAAAACATATCTGCACTTGTATCTTAAAGTTACAATTGTTCAGGGGTGCCTGGGTGGCTCAGTGGGTTGAGCATCTCACTTCAGCTCAGGTCATGATCTCACAGCTTGTGAGTTCAAGCCCCACGTAGGGCTCTGTGCTGACAGCTCAGAGCCTGGAGCCTGCTTCAGATTCTGTGTCTCCCTCTCTCTCTGCCCCTACCCCTCTCACGCTCTGTCTCTGTCTCTGTCTCTCAAAGATAAATAAATGTCAAAAAAAAATTAAAAAAAAAGTTGCAATTGTTCTGGTTTGGGATACTGCCAACTTGATGGAATTATGATTATATGGAAGGAAGCATTTTCTATGTGGAGGTCAGCAAAATCAGAGAGCAGCATAACTATGGCTAAGTACTGGAGAGCCTGGTTCCTGCAGCTTCTCACAAAGTCCAACTTCAATTGGCAAGAACCCATCTTGGAGCTATCCTTCCAGTGTCCAGACTTGGCAAAGAAATGCTTAACTGTCACTTTCCAGCAAAAGCTGGGTTCATTTTCTTTTGCCCCACCTCTATTTCAACCCACTTATAGAAAAAGCTAATTTTACATCATTACCTGTGTTTTGCCTCAACATTTCAAGCGTTTTCTAATTTTTCAGATTTCTTTAAACAATTAACTTCAGGGAATACTAATTACACGGTTGCGTGTCAAGAAACTTTATTGTTTTATTATTTTTTTTTAATTTTTAATGTTTATTTATCTTTGAGAGAAAGAGAGAGAGAGAGAGAATAAGCAGGGGAGGGGCAGAGAGAGAGGGAGACACAGAATCCAAAGCAGGCTCCAGGCTCTGAACTATCAGCACAGAACCTGACATGGGCTCAAACCCACAAACCACGAGATCATGACCTGAGCCAAATCTGACGCTTAACTGACTGAGCCACCCTGATGCCCGAAAACTTTATTCTTAAATACATAGAGATTATATAATTTATCATAATCTCCTGCCACTGATTAGTGTATTCAAAACACTATTTGAAAGAGACCAGACTATGCTTTTCCTGTTCTCCATTTTGAAAAGAAAAGGAACTGATATAAGAATTCTCCATTTTCTTTGTGATTCTGAAATATAATTTTTTTGAAATATGATTAAAATTTTTTTTGTTTATTTTTGAGAGAGAGAGAAAGAGAGTGCAAGAAGGGAAGGGGCAGAGAGAGAGGGAGACACAGAATCTGAAGCGGGCTCCAGGCTCCCAGCTGTCAGCGCAGAGCCTGACGTGGGGCTCAAACTTATCAACTGCAAGATCATGACCTGAGCCAAAGTTGGCACATAACTGACTAAGCCACTCAAGCACCCCTGAAATATTATTTTTAAATAAAGCTTGCAAATAGCTCCTCACCTGTTACCTGTTGAACCTAAGATAATTTATGTTGGTTTGAGAGAGAAGAAAACACTTCCTTGATTTTCCCATGAGCTATCTGTGTGATAGTGGAGCAGAAATAAGTTTTGGTAAGCTGAAATCGTTTATTTGAATAGTCTGCAAGCCAGTTTTAAGTTGAATTTTTATATCACCTTCATCATTTTATCTACCTAGAAAGATCATATATTTAAGGGCAGTATGTTTCTAACAGTTAAAACACCTTCCTGTCTTTTATTACAATTAGGTTAATCAGCCTATGCTCTTGCTGCTTTATTTGAGTGATTTAGTATTTCAGATGATTAAATTCCCCAATTCATGAAATTGTCCTTATTTAACCATATGGTAGACTTAAAACTAGGAGATTATGATTTTCCTAGTTTAGAAAAATCTTGAAAAGCATGCAGTGTTTTTAAAAAAGCAAATTAAGGGGCGGGTGCCTGGGTGGCTCAGTTGTTTGAGCATCCAGCTTCGGCTCAGGTCATGATCTCACTGTGAGTTCGAGCCCTGATTTGGGCTCTGTGCTGACAGCTCAGAGCCTGCAGCCTGCTTTAGATTCTGTGTCTCCCTCTCTCTCTCTGCCCCACCCCTGCTTGTGCTCTGTCTCTCAAAAATGGATAAACGTCACAAACACAAAAAAAAGCAAATTAAGGGATAAATTCTTTACATATAATTGGTGAGCCTGTAAAGGATTCATGACAATTTATCTAGACAGAACTGTCATGGTGCATTTTAAATTATGTTTTGGAGGACAATATCGGGAATCCCACACAAATTTTCCAAAGCACATTGTGTTTGCTTAAAGGCACACCAGTGAGCAAGAGGAAGGATGCTGTGGTGGGATGAAATCAGACAACCAGCAGGAGAGGAGCAGTCATTGGAATAACAAGATAAATGCATTGTGGGTCTCCACGGCAACTGAGGGCCCTAGTTGATCCTCTGCCCCTCCAGCGTTGGGTAGAACACAGCCCACCTGTGCCAAATCTCCCGCTCTACAGAAACAAATGTTCCATTGCTACATTAAATTTTTCCAAGGATTTCAGGTTATGAAACAGTACCAATTACTTTAGCTGAATGTAAATCTCTAATGCACTTAATAAGAATGTTTCTCTAATAAATGTTATCAATTAAAAAATACATTTAGAATGAATACAGAGAATGAAAATACATTTTTATGCTATATTTACAATTCATTAAGCTTTCTAGGTTTATTTGTTCTGGAAGTGAGCTGACTTGTTTTCCAGCAGAGTCCTGGAAGCAGTAATGCCCACTCCTCTCCAGTGAATGTTAGAAATGGGGACAGGAGTCGGTTCTCTTAGTGGTTGATTCCAGTGGCCTTCCATTGCCTCAACATTTCTTATCCGTGTCCTCCTGCTCTAGGCCGCTTACCAGTTCTGGGTGCATGGACAATTTTCCTAATCTCACTGTGTCTTAGTTTCCCATCTACGAAATAGGGGTAATAAATAAACTTACCTCATATAGCCATTTGTCAGGATCAAATGAGCTAACATGTATTATTAGAAGACTTTATCATAACAATCAATAATATTTGCTATTATCATAATTATCCCTTTACTTCACCTCACAGTATCTCTTAGTCTGATCTAGTAAATTCAAGAAAATTTCTCTTGCTTACTCCATCTCACTTACTTTCAACTAGATTGCAGAATGCATGAATGTGGACACATTTCTTAAGAGATCTTTGTGGTTTTAGATCAAGGCTGCATCCTTAGAGAGTGTTTGTGCCAATGAAAAGATTGAGGCTGACTTTGGCCTTCTTTGTAGTTTTACCCAAAGGAGAGAACTAGTTAGAGACAAGCCAGTTACACTGGAGTTGAGGGTCAAGTAGTGGACAGATAGATCCGGTTCATACCATACTTCCATCAGTGACTAGTTGGGTGTCTCAGAAAAAGGATTTTGACTTTACCAAGACTCTTTAAAGGATCCTTAAAATGAGGCTAATAACAATTCATAGGATTATTTGAGTATTGGATGTAACATATTAAAAGCACATAGTAAAGTTCCTAATACTTAGTGGGCATTCACAAATGGTAGCTCTTACTATTATAATTACTGCTAATACTGTAATTATTAATTCTTCAACATGAAATTTACTTTAATGTGACAGTCAGGATCCCGATATGTAAGTACCTTGGTCCACAGGGCATACATGTGAATGAAGAGTCAATAGGTCAGTTCCTCTTTTTTGTGTTTTGTTATATAAATTTTGCTAATACTGGAGTAGAAGAGATTTTATATTGCAAAACGATGGAAAAGTAAATGGTAGAACAAAGAAAAAGTGCTACATATATAGTGAATTCGTTGAGACATGTTCCAGCCAAATAGACACATATATCATTAGTTGTCTCAAGCTTTGAGCCAGATTACTGAGAAAGCATATGAAATACAGAAAAAAATACTTCAAACTTTTTTTGGGGAAAATTTAAATAAAATATTTATGATATAAATTATCTATTAGAAAAGGTGGGTGGATTAAAGAATCAGCTTTGTGACCTGTGTTGGAGGCACTAATTCCAATTCTGAAGCCGACTCAGAGTTCAGGGCGCTTTTCCCACCACTTAGTTCTGGTTGAGATCTGTGTTCTGAGGACCTAGAGGGGATGAAAAAAGGAGATTACATCAAGAAACAAATTCAACTAGGAAGACAGTCAAGAAACTGAGTTAATTTGGATCATTGAGAGTCATGATAACAAAGCTCTCATCAGAGTTTTGATGAAAAAGAGAGCTTTTATATAATTTTACACAACCACGTTTGAAGTTTAAGTGGCTGCAGTGTGCTAGGCATAATCTAAATCTGATTGATTTAGAATTCAGTTCGATTATGTACAAAAAGTAAATAAACGCAATCCCATTTTTCTTACAAACAGTTCTGCTTTATTAAAAGTGTTTTGGGAGGGGAGTGTCTCACAGTGACCCAGGTGTGATTTGATCTTTACACAGAATTTGAAATGTCACCATAAGTGGAGATGTGCAAGGGGCAACAGGAGACTGAAACATGTTGCCCTTCAGGAAGACTTAAAAACATGGTAAAATTCAGGTGGCCAATTTTTCTCATGAGCATCCACAGATTGTTCTTAATTAGTGTATTATCTGACAATGATGATTAAGGTAGTCAGAAAAGGTTACCTGTGTAACCAGAAACATTTAATTTAACTGCCATTCATGTAATATATTGAATATGCACACATATGTGCGTACATACATAAACCTATTTTTATTGATCGGCTCAGTTACACATTCAGAAAATTATCAACAAATATTAAAGAAATATTGAATACTGGTTATGAATCTACCAAAGTCATTATTGGTTGAATTTTTGACAATTCAGATTCAATACTTAGTTTTAGAAGCTATGATAACTAACATTGAAACATAGGGGCTTATACATGGCACCAAGTATTTGGATTGATTTAACTCATTGGCTATTTCAGTACATAGGAGAAATACCCATACAGTTGACACATCAATAGCTATTTTCTGATATTACAATATCTTACCATAAGAGTTCCTTTGATCCAGTTCTAGAAGAGCATGATTTTCTTTCTGCCATTGGATGCCCCTTGCTATTTCGATCTCCATGAAACTTAACATCATCCCATTTTTCCAGTTGTGTTTGAATGTCTATGAAGGAGATGGGAAAGGGGTAAAAGGACAGTGGAATATGAGATACAGACAGAAGAGAGATCAAGATTAAGAAGTTTTATACAAGTGAACTTCACTCAACTGATGCTCCTAAACCTAAGACCAGTGTTTTAAGGTTGCATGAAAATTAATTAAAACATGTACAGCTAAATAGAAATGAGACCCATTAAGAAACATTGCTTTACTTATAGTTAAACAATCAAGTTCTTTTACCTGAATTTGTTTCAAGAGCTGTGTGCATTCTGAATTCTGTGTATGAGTCCATGGAACCCCCATGGAATGAACATATGGAGTACTATCCTACCTGCCTCTAGCTAAGGAGGTGACTTTGAGACACTTCTGGCATGTTTATAAAAAGAAATTCTGTTTATGCCATCCCTATCAAAATAACACCAGCATTCTTCACAGAGCTAGAACAAACAATCCTAAAATTTGTATGGAACCAGAAAAGACCCCAAATAGCCAAAGCAATCTTAAAAAAGAAAACCAAAGCTGGAGGCAACACAATCCCGAACTTCAAGATGTATTACAAACCTGTAATCATCAAGACAGAATGGTACTGGCACAAAAACACACTCAGATCAATCAACAGAATACAGAACCCAGAAATGGACCCACAAACGTATGGCTAACTAATCTTTGACAAAGCAGGAAAGAATATCCAATGGAATAAAGACAATCTCTTCAGCAAATGGTGCTGGGAAAACTTGACAGCGACATGCAGAAAAATGAACCTGGACCACTTTCTTACACCATACGCAAAAATAAACTCAAAATGAATGAAAGACCTAAATGTAAGACAGGAAGCCATCAAAATCCTAGAGGAGAAAGCAGGCAAAAACTTCTTTGACCATGGCCATAGCAACTTCTTACTCAACACGTCTCCAGAAGCAAGGGAAACAAAAGCAAAAGTGAACTATTGGGACCTCAACAAAATAAAAAGCTTCTGCACAGTGAAGGAAACAATCAGCAAAACTAAAAGGCAACTGATGAAATGGGAGAAGATATTTGCAAAAGACGTATCAGACCAAAGGGTAATATCCAAAATCTATAAAGAACTTATCAAACTCAACACCCAAAAAACAAAGAATCCAGTGAAGAAATGGGCAAAAGACATGAATAGACACTTCTCCAAAGACATCCAGACGGCTGACAGACACATGAAAAAATGCTCAACGTGACTCATCATCAGGAAAATACAAATGGAAACCACAATGAGATACCACTTCACACCTGTCAGAATGGCTAACATTAACAATTCAGGAAAAACAGATGTTGATGAGGATGCAGAGAAAGAGGATCTCTTTTGCACTGCTGGTGGGAATGCAAACTGGTACAGCCACTCTGGAAAACAGTATGGAGGTTCCTCAAAAAATTAAAAATAGAACTACCCTACCACCCAGCAACTGCACTACTAGGTATTTATCCAAGGGATATAGGTGTGCTGTTTCAAAGGGGCACATGCACCCCCATGTTTATAGTAGCACTATCAACAATAGCCAAAATATGGAAAGAGCCCAAATATCCGGGAAGATGTGGTATATATATACAGTGGAGTATTACTCGGCAATCAAAAAGAATGAAATCTTGCCATTTGCAACTACGTGGATGGAACTGGAGGATATTATGCTAAGCGAAATTAGTCAGTCAGAGAAAGACAAATATATGACTTCACTCATATGAGGACTTTAAGATACAAAACAGATGAATTTAAGGGAAGGTAAGCAAAAATAATATAAAAACAGGGAAGGGGACAAAACATAAGAGACTCTTAAATATAGAGATCAAACAGAGGGTTGGTGAAGAGGTTGTGGGAGGGGGGATGGGCTGAATGGGTAAGGGGCATTAAGGAATCTACTCCTGAAATCATTGTTGCACTATATGCTAACTTGGATGTAAATTAAAAAAAAAAAGAAATAAATGAAAAAAAATGAAAAAAAATCTGTTTAAAGAGATGAGCCTCACTTTTTTTTTTTTTTAAGTTTTTTATTTATTTTTGAGACAGAGAGAGACAGAGCATGAACGGGGGAGGGTCAGAGAGAGAGGGAGACACAGAATCTGAAACAGGCTCCAGGCTCTGAGCTGTCAGCACAGAGCCTGACGCGGGGCTCAAACTCCCGAACCGTGAGATCATAACCTGAGCTGAAGTCGGACGCCCAACCGACTGAGCCACCCAGGCGCCCCAAGACTCACTGTTAAAAGGAGGTGAGAAGAAAGTGGAACACTTTTCACAGGTTTTGTATAAACTGATTAAGTTCATCAAAGGAGTGAATTAATAATGGGAAGAGAAAGTAACGATGCAATGGAGAAAGTCAAGAGAATGCTAGAACAATTTTTTTCCCTGTGGTTTAATTCTTACAGTTAAAGAACTTGGCTGGGTTCATTTTCATTAATAAGTGTGTGACTGTAAATAAATCACTTAAACAGCCTTGGGGTCCAGTTTTTTAATTTATAGAAAGATAGGTTTAATTTATAGAAAGGTAGGAGGTAGTCAATGTCCTCCATAGTTAAGTATTTTTATGACTTCTTCACAGAACATCTTCTTTTTAAAAAAATTTTTTTAACGTTTATTTATTTTTGAGACAGACAGAGAGAGACAGAGCATGAAGGGGGGAGGGGCAGAGAGAGAAGGAGACACAGAATCGGAAGCAGGCTCCAGGCTCTGAGCCATCAGCCCAGAGCCCAAGGCGGGGCTCGAACTCACGGACCGCGAGATCGTGACCTGGCTGAAGTCGGACGCTCAACCGACTGCGCCACCCAGGTGCCCCACAGAACATCTTCTTAAAAGCAGAGACATAAAAGTCTCATTTTTAAGTTTGTTGTGTTATATTGTTATGAACTTAATATATCCTTAAATAAGTGTGTAAATTTCATTTATTCATTGGTACAACTGACTAAACCTAGAACACATGGATAGTGAGGAAGTACTGGAGATACTTATAAAGTTTTTCTCCAAAGACAAAGGCCTCAGAGAGGGACATGGCAGGGGAGAGGGGACATGTTCTGAAATACTTGTCGTTTTGCTTTCTCCTGATAAAGCAGACCTTAATTTGACTGGTTGCATGAGATGAGTTAAGCTTTCCTTTTTCAGGAAGATGGACAGTAGAAAACAGGATGGGCTTTGACATTAATCAGAACTAGGCTCAAATTCTAGCTCTTTCTTATATTGAGATCTTGGGCAGATTATTTAAATTTGAAAACCTGGTTCCTCACTTATTACAGAGTTATGATGAATTAATGGGCTAATACATGTAAATCATTCAAGCATAGTCCTGGACATTATAAGCCATCAATAAATGGTAGCTGTTATTATTGTATCAGATACATCCCCATGCATGTTACATGTTCTGGCTGGCTGTTCCTGGACCTTGTGTTAAAGTTGTTTTCTCTCTCTCTCAACTGGCTACCTCCCAATCTAGACTAAATTCTCCTAGAGAGCAAGATTCATGTGTTATTCTTACTTGTAACTCCAATGCCTCATATGGCACCTGCCATCTATCAAGAATTCGACACATGTGGGTTGAATAAATAAATGAATGAATCCACATCAGTTATGCAAAATTGAATGCCCCAACTGCTATTTAATCCAAGAACAAAAGTGTGTGCTGCCCATTTCCTACATGGAATTAATCTTTTCTACTCCTTTCCCATGGTTTTAATGTCATTTGTGGAATTTCCTTGTATTAAGGCAGGGGCAAGCAGCAGGCGACACATGCTATTACCTTACCTAAATCTAAGGATGAAGTCTCTGGGCCTCGGAGAGGCTGGCCTCTCTGCTCAGCATCTGCACTGATGAGTTCAGATCCATCAGCCTTTTTCTTGAGGGATGAGGTTTTCGATGAGGCCTCCAACTTCTTGGCTTTGGTTTGGGTTTGAGAGACGGGTTCACTCAGGTCAAGGAGGTCTAAGCCTGTGGTCAATACTATCAAAGATGGAAGAGGTTAAGATAAGCCCACTCACTGCTCTGAAATTATTTTTAAAAATAGGATTCAGTTGGGTGCAGAAAAATATTGTGGTCAGAAGTATGAAATTAAGTTAGATGACCGTTGATTTGTAAAGATGGTCTGTGTTTAGACTGGAAAGTTTGCAGTGTGTTCTCCTTTACTTGGCACAGTACAAACCCACAAAATAGGACTTAGACCAGCTTTACCAGGGATGAAAGTTTGCAAAACAGTTATGAGGAAGATTTGGAAAACTTTTTAAATGTCTTTGTGTTTAAACTTCAAACTACTAAAGCATATAGGATATAAAGGAATGTTATTAATCACTTTTTATTTAATTAAGCAGTTCAATCAGAGAACGGCTTGCTGTTTGGGCTCACACTAGAGAAGTATCTTATAATCCATAGTTGATGAATAGGTACACATGTTATGCCTTTGCTGTTTAATATGCAAATTTAAATTTCAACATAACAAGGCATAGAAGGGCTACACTTTAACTTCCCAGCAGGTTGATTACATTGTATTAAATACTCTAATGAAGACAGAAATAATCATTTGTTCAGATGCAAACTAGGCAAATGAGAATTAAAAAGGCAAGCTTTGTGACTCTTCCTCCTCCTCTCTCTTACAGTGCAAGTAACCAGGGTTTGAGTAGCTCAGTGTGAGAAATGGAAAATTACAATTAGGGAAGGTCCCTCCAGTCCTGCCTCTCTACCAGCTCAAGTACTGGAAGAGGCTGACTTCTGGCCTGGAATCACTTTACCCCCAGCTAGTTTAGGAAAGTCATCAAACTGACAGAGAAATCCTTGTGTTAGCCCTTTCTGGCACTGTCTACAACTATGACTGAACCACTCCTTTTCTTTGATCTCCCAGCAGGTCCTCCTGGTAGGGAATGGATTTTTGTGGATATCTCAACATTCTTCCATCTGCTCCCCCCTTGCACTCAACGTGGGTCAGACCTCAGTTGAACTCACAACCTGGGTTTCTTTAGTACCACTGTCCTCATGAGCTAACCACCCCTATAGCGTCCTTAGGATAATTTGTCAAGCTGTATTCTCAATACAGAATTGAGAAATTCTCAGTTTCTGATTTCAATTACAAATCACAGTGATGGGATGTTAATGGTGAAGTGGGAAGACCTGACTCTACCACTGCTTAGCTGTGTGACTTGGAGTAAGTTTCTTGACTTCTCTGAGCTTCAGTTTCCTCCTCCGAAAAATGCAGAATTAATAAGTCTATCTTTTAGATAAGATGTGAAGATTAACTCATCTAATTTGTATATTGAATATGTGAAGTGCTAGGCATACAATAGGTACTCAACAAATGTTATTTCCGTTCTTTGGTGGCCAATTTGTGATGCTTTTCTTTTTGTTAATCTCCTCCTATTCTCCCTGTTGTTTTTCTATTTTGGGCAAGAAGCAGATCCATATGCTGACAGAAAGGGGGAACATCACTGGGAATAAAACAGAGAATGAGACAAAGATATTGGTTACAGAGGATGCTATGAAGTAAATTTATCATAAAATGGCCTGAGAGCATCAGCTTATCTCCTCTGAGTCTTCCGGAGGAGATGGGAACCCCCTTCCAATACTAAGATGCTCTGAAATATGAGGAGTGTTATGTGGCTAGCAAGAACCTCAACGTGAGGAGAAAGAAGTGGCTTTTAGAGGTAAGCCGCCTGGCTTGGTGTCTCAAATTTAAACATGGCAAGCGGCCAACATAGACTAGGATGTAACACATTTCATATTCTTTGAATGTTTAAACAGAAATTTCCAGGCCACTATTATGTTGGCAGAGATTCTAGACCTACCAAAATTTCCTTATAACAGAAGGAAGGAAGTGGGTAACAGTCTCGGGAATGCCATATATGTCTTTTTACTAATTGTACAAACAATTAGGAATTAGTCACTTGCTCCTACACTTCTTTTAGCAGTAAATTATATAGGACTTGTCTACTTGTATATAGGAAGTATATTTATTATGGAATAATAACTGATGGAGTATTAATTTAATTCTATGTCTGCTTCTCACCATTCAGAACAAATGAATTACTAAAAGAGTGAACCGCAAATTCAAAATTTGCTCAGTAACATTCTTTCCCTCTCCAAACTGGCCTGAGCACTTCCTGTGTTGGTTCTGAGCTCTGTGTTCCTTTGTTCTTTTCCCAGCAAACATGAAACAAATGCTTGGCACACACAAAAGGCCTTAGTTGTTACCCACTTGATGAAGGGGGTGGCTTGGAGGTTGAATGGTAAGCTTTGAAGCTGAGAGAGTCCCTGGGGACTACAATTTCAAAAGCATACAAGGATGGATGCAGCCTTTTGCTTTCTGGAGGAAGACAAGTGCATTTTAGCAAGTGTGTGTGTGTGTGTGTGTGTGTGTGTGTGTACGTGTGTGTGAGTGTGTTGCATGCACATGCACTTTAGTTAATAGTTTTGAAATAAGGGTCTCACTGTTCCATCTGGGCTTCGAAGGAGGCATACCTTGGCATGGAAGGAGGTATTGTTCTGCTGATTTTTGTAACTGGATTTTAAAGATTCTCTTAGACACATTAAAGTTTGAGTTCCAGAATCTGTGTGTCTAAATGAAGATAACCACCTCTTACAGTGGATGTGAAAATGTGTGTATATGTTTATGTGAGAGAGAGAGAGAGAGAGAGAAAGAGAGAGAGAGAGAGAGAAACTAATAGACTTAAAAATGCTACGTTGCTGGCTTTGGAGATGGAGGAAGTGGCCACAAGCCAAGGGATTCCAGGTACTTCCAGAAGCTGGAAAAGGCAGGGAGACAAATTCTCCTTTAGAGCCTCCAGAAGGAATGTGGCTCTGCCGAAACCTTGATTTTAGGACTGCTGACTGACAGGATTATAGGACAATAAACTGGTGTTGTTTTTAAGCAACTGAATTTGTGGTAATTTGTTACAGCAGCAATAGGAAACTAATACAGCTTGTAGATCAGTGTCCATGCCAGGATGCAAACACAGGCCCTGTCACTCCCAAGCATGTGTTTGTTACCACTCCTCACTACACTTTATCTGAACCTGGAAGAAACATTGGTGCGGCTTTGATTATTTTTTTGGTTATTCCCAATCTGGCAGTTTGGGTAGTCTGAGGCAGAATTTAAATAGTTGGTAATCTCAAAAACTGCTTCTTTTTAAAAAAATTTTTTTTTACACTTATTTATTTTTGAGAGACAGAGACAGACAGCATGAGCAGGGGAGGGGCAAAGAGAGAGGGAGACACAGAATCGGAGGCAAGGTCCAGGCTCCGAGCTGTCAGCACAGAGCCCAATGCGAGGCTCAAACCCACTAACTGTGAGATCGTGACCTGAGCCGAAGTTGGATGCTTAACCGACTGAGCCACCCAGGCACCCCTACTTCTTCTTTTTTAAATCACCTAGTTTCATTGGATAGAATTTCCTGAAGATGTAAGATGTAAGATGATATGTAAGCACTTGTTTCCATTTATCTCAAGGATACCTAATTGAAGATCACAACGTATTGAACTGCAAGGCTCCTACAGGGCACTGAAGATGTTTATGAATGCTAGATTACTTGGGCTGTGGGAGGTGAGGCTGCTTAAAACAGTTAGAATGAAATAGCACCTATTATGAAGCTCTGATTTGATACTTTGATGGTAAGCACAATGCTATTTACACCACTACAGTATAATGAGGCTCAGATTTCTAGTGTATTTCTCTTAAGGAATAAATCTACATGGAGTGGTTAGAGAGAGCAGATCATGAAACAACCCTGATTGGTGTAGCCACAGAATGTGCCACAAGGAGCTGATGAGATCTCTGTTCTGTTTTGTAAGCTACTCAGTTATTCTAGAAACATGGTATTCTTTAGTATAGTGGCTACAAAGTCCTTTAGGAATAATTTTGCCAGTGACATCAAATAGATAAAATGGACTTAAATAATTCAACAAATTTTTGCTTATTTTATCTGAATATGTAATTAGAGCTACTTCCTACATTTCTAAGTTCTCTCAAGAGGCATGCCATTGGGTTCACAGCTACTTGGGCTTCAGAGAAATGTATTTTGTAAATATTACACTAACTTTGCAATTAAAATATTCAATTGGGTGGCTGTGACATGAGTGTGAACTTTAAGGGTGGCTCTTCCCTTATACATATGGGTCACTTATACAGGTACACAGGTCCCATATAAGGAGTTGAAATTATTTTTTTTAAATCATGAAAAATGTTTCTTCTATAGTATCCAACTAATGGCTCAAGTTTGGGGATAAAATTTTTTTAGATTATGCACATCGATAAATGCAAACCAAGGACCCCCTGTTTTTCTTGGTCTTTAGAAAAGAATCTTTCCTGCACTTTGACATATGTTAGGTTTTTTGGGAGATTATAGACCAACAAGTTATTTTTGCAAATTTTAGAGTAAATAGTTGTTCTATAATGTAATCATGGTCTTAAAATATCCATTGTCTAGTTACTTTCTGAACATTTGATATTTGCATCTGTGACAATATGTATTTATTTGTCATTTTAAAATCAAGGATATTAGTAATGATCTTACCTTACCTACCATGTAGGGATACAGTTTGAGAGGGTCAAGGAATTAGATACTATCTAGATTACAGATGAATTAAAGATAATTTGGGGTATTAATGACAACAAAATTAAAAACATCTTTATTTGATCAGCTTGATATTATCATTATTGGATGACAAGAAGTTAATCCTAAACAAGCAGAACAAGTAGAAACAAGCAGAAAGTAAAAAAGATAATTCAATGCTTTAGAAAAAGATTATAACTTAGAACTCCTATGAGACAGAAGACTGACATGTTCTTTTAAGATCAGTAGAGGAAAAAATCCTATCATTTGAGTGACATTTGGAAGAGATAAATATTTCCTATATTGTTTATTTTATGCTAATTTATATAAGAACTATGTTCTTTAAATATTTAAGTAAATGTCAAGGTGGTGGCACACTTTATTTTTTATTGGAAGAAAATGCCAGGTATAAGTGACTCTCTTAGTCTTCTTGACGGACTTGGTATAAACTAGAAGCAGGTTTTCTTCCATATTTTACTCCAAGATTGTTTAATATCCATTCCTTAAGCATAAAGATATACATAATACCTGGGGTGTAACAGACAATGTTCAAAGACTGTCCTGATTTGTCAATGTACTTTCATAGATTCTATAAAATAACAATATTCTATTTCAAATTATTTTTTTATTAAAAATTTAGACAGAAAATAGTAACTATATATTTTCCCCAGAAACCTTAGCTATAAAATTATTGGACCAGGTTGGAATTCTTTCAAAGTGTTTGTATGCTAAAATTTTTCCTGTTTAGAGATGTATAATGTTCCATATTGAGGTATCAATAGTAGGTTCTATAACATTTAAGAAAAAAGTATATTTCTTAGACATTAAAAAAATACGGAGTTTCCTCCTTGAGATATACTTTTAAGATTAAAAAAACACACTATCAAATAAGAGTATTCCTTCAGGATAAAAATCTGTGTGACCCAGATGCACTGAGTGATGAGGACAAGAGAAGAAAACCTCACAATCTCAAAATACCATTATTCTTGAACCCCTACTTTGGAGGGTGCCGTGGATTGAACTGTCCCCGTAAAAAAACTCATATGTTGAAGTCTTAACCCCTAGTGCCTTGGAATGTGACTTTATTTGGAAATAGGGTTGTTGGAAATATAATTAGTTAAGATGAGTCATATTGTAGTAGAAGAGGTGCTGAATCCAATATGGCTGGTGTTCTTATGAAAAAGGGAAATTTGGATACAGAGACAGACACAAACACAGGAAGACATGCACACAGGAAGAATGTCATGTGAAGATTACAGTTATACTGTCACAAGCCAATGAACTACCAGCAAAGGAAAGTTTTTTCCTTTCTGTCCTTCCCAGGACAGTTTCTTCCTGAGGACATTTAGAGAGAGAGTGGCCCTGCTGATACCTTAATTTTGGTCTTCTAGTTCCCAGAATTACAAAACAATAAATTTCTGTTGTTCAATCCACTCAATTTGTGGTATCTTGTCATGAAAGTCTAGAAAACGTATACAGAAGGCAATATTGTAGTATTGCAATCGTAAGAAATTACATCTTCTTTTGAATTTTTTCTCCAATATTTCATATATCTCTTTCATATGTTGGAAAAATCAAAGTGAAAGTGCCTTTTGAATCAAGTATTATGTTGCTGTCTCTGGTGGGCCCTTCCTAAGTGACTTAATTTTAGCATTAGTGGGAGTTGGAAAGTGCATAAGGTACTGGAATCAAGATCTGAGAACTCTATCCTTTGCAGGTTTTTTTTTTTTTTTTTTAGAACAATGGGAACTTCTCAGTGCATCCAATTCTCATGGATTTTCCTGAAATGAGAGACACAAAGCTCCTCTCCAGTTTTGGAGGAATGAGCTCTAGTTTCATAGATAAGAAGGATAAATTTGATCAGGTAAAATCTGAACTTATTAATTTCCTGCTTAAATGTACCAAGTATAATTTTATTTGCTTGATTACTCAAAGTGATAGTTGAATTTAGAAAATGATTGCTTTGGTGTGATATAAAGAAAGTTAATGCATTTCAACAGAGAAGCATCAGGTATACTGTTTTCCTAACATTCCTAACATTCCTAACCATTACCTAACAGTAATGGTAACATCTGTTAGAGCTTACATGGTATTAAGCTCTTACGTAGATTGCTTCATTTAATCTTCCCAAGTAACCTATGAGATGTTACCATTATAGATGAGGAAACAGACTTAGTTAAGCAACTTTCCCAAGGACAAGAGCTGCTAAGTGGCACAGCTGGGTTTTGACATTGTGAACTGTGACTCCAGACACTGTAGACTATACTCCTGCATAAAGCTTCTATCTTGTGTTAACTTTTGCCGTTGTAATTTTTAGCATTTAAAAACCCCACAATTTCCTTCACTCGTGATTTTCTTCACTTACCTAAAAGTATAATGAAAATATACCAGGAAACAGCAAGCTGAGGACATGATTGGGAAATGGATGCATTTAACAAGGCAGCACGTAACTGTTCTCTCCTTTCTCCATTAAATTCTTTCCTGCAATCTAACATAGCCTTTGTTCTTTGATTCTGAACATCATTTTTTCATACTTATTTGAACAAGATGCCTTTGAACGTGAGTGGTGACTGAATAAAATCAATGCAGAAAGGCTGTCTCTGATACAGAAGGTGAAAAGTAGCTTTTGCGTCACATCTTATGTAGCTCCCTCAGGGTGGGCCCTAACTAAGTGACTTAGTTTTAGCATCAGTGAAAATTGGCAAATGCAGAGGGTACTAGAGGAGATGTGATTCATACCAGTGGGATCCTGCATCCACTCATTGGATGAATACTTATTAGTGCCTATATGTATGTGCCTACACAGATGATAGTTCACTGTTTGGGTATGTTTTAATTCCAGAAGAATATGCAAAGAAATCATTGTAAGAGGAAACCAGTAACACATTTACATGACAGAAAAATGAAATTGGCTCTTCAACATTTCAAGTCTCTAGGACTTTTAATTTTGTCATTTCAATCCACTTGAAGGGGCTTCCTACATTTTTGGACTTTTGTCATACAAAATATTTCCAGCCACAACTTTAAAACCTTACTCTGAAATAGATGTTTTTGTTTTAAAGATTCCTTGTAATGTGACTTGAGATGCAAAGATGTAAATCTGCACAGAAAAGATTCATTTGCTAATATTCAGCAAAATTGGTTGGGTAATATACATTGCAGTTTCTTTTATATTACAGAGTGATTTACCATTTTATGTTGAATAGTATATATTCTAAGCTTTCATTGGTTGCAAACATTATTCTACTTAAAATGCATTATAGAAATAAAATATGCATTTCACTATAGTTAAAATTAGCTCTACTTGAGGATCAGTTAAAAGTGAAAGAATTACCGGCTGTGTTGGACGTTACTGGCCTTGCTATTGCCTCCGATTTGGTTTCACAAAGAAAGTCATCGATGGAGGGACTCAAGAGGGGTCTGCTTTCTTGCTGTTCATTCACCAGCTGAGAACAGATGAACACAGGTATCAAAGGGCTTTGTTACACTGCAGAATCAGATGAATTAAAATGCAGCCTTGCAACAAAATGAGAATAGCAAGCTTATAAATAAATAAATAAATAAATAAATAAATAAATAAATAGGTAAGGGCAAGAAAGAAAAAAGATATCAAGGGATGGGGAATGAGCCTTTTAGCACTGTCAACATATGTTGGATGCAGCCAATTTCAGTTTTTAAAGCTCAAGCCTTTTTTTTCTCCTAGTACTGTTTTAAAATTCTAATTTCAATATGTGGAAAATGACACCTAATGAATCACAGTTCCTAAGGACCAATCCCACTCTTCACTTGGACAAAACACTACTGAGACCTGATATACTGGCCCCAGACTTTGAGGTGACACATTCTGTTTAGGATGGGCCATCAGTATTATGTGATAAGCACACAGAGATCTGTATGTGTGTGGATAAAAGTTCTTTTCTCTCTCTCTAAAAAAAAAACTCAAGACATCTATGGGCACATATCCTTCTTACATTTCCTTGGGATGCTTTTGTAGAGCATAACAAACATTATTTTGGGAGAGTAGAAAATATTGTTATATTAACTATATAGGTATCCAGTGGATATGTTTCTGAAAATCTATATGTAAAATAGATTTCTGTCAATTCAATTGTATTTTCCCATTGGCTTGCTCTCTAATTTTAGAAATCCTTCAGTTTGATTTTTAGTTGGTCTCTAATTAGCAGTGGCAGCCAATTATTAACTTTCAGTTATTCTGCACCTCTTAGAATCCAGACTTCCTTAAGTTCTGCTTCCATGGTTAAGGGAAGAAATATAATCATGACATTAAAGTGGTTAATTCCTAAATTAACTGTTTTCGTTTTTCAGGAGTTTTTATATTGGCCTATCTTAAAATGGACATAACCATCCAGTTTTCTACTTAAGAACAAGATGTGCCTAAAAACCTCTAGATTTTTAAATACTGATTTGCAAGTCTGCATTTTCAGAGACACATAAAACAAAGATGAAGTCTTATTTTCTTTATTTTTTTCTTCATTTTAGATATAAATTCCTTTGTAAACAGGGACTAATAATAATTCTCATATCACAGCTCTGTGAGTAAATGTGTGAAATGGGCCTGGATTAACTATGGTTTTAGAAGACCAGGGTGTTAGATTTCTGTAGGTACTTTTAGATGTAAACATTAAAAATTATAGTCTTAATTTGATAAAAATATTTCTAGAAAGGCTTTTGTCCACATAAAAATGTCTAAATGGAAAAACAAAGGAAAAGGCAGTTGAGAGGGCTTATCCTTTTAGGTAAGTCTATCTATCAAAGATAATATTTTTTTGGAGCCTCTCTCTTCATGAAACCTCAGACTTATTTTCTGGAGAAAGTACTTCTAGCATTCTCAGACTTTTCTCAACATAGGAAGAAAGAAATACCAAAGAGGAGGCTGTTCAGAGAGACCCTATGGCGTCCAGGACTGAGGTATGGCTTCTCCTCTGCCTCATAAGGTCTGTGTTTCTTCCACATCTACTGTTTTGTTTCTGAGCACACATCAAACCCAGACTGATGGAGTTGTTACATCTGCCTAATTTCCATAACTGAGCTGTTCCTGTGGCTTTCTTGCACAGATACAAATCAAAAAGGAAATAACAAACTACTTTCTGAGTCTGTGTTTTTCAAAATGGGGCACAGTTTAACTGTTGGGAAATTCTGGGGGTGGAGTGGGGGATGGTGGCAGGTCTCTGGGGTGAAGAGGATAAAGGGCCAGATTTCAGATATCATGGGAAGGTAATTTAGGAATTGAAAGTTTTTTGGTTTTGATGGAGATAGGGAAGATGAAACAAGAAATATCATGAAATCTTTTCTTATAAGTTCTGAGGTCAGAGGCTATGTCTTACTCATATCCTTCACTACTTCTAATAGAATGTTTTCATGTACGAGGGGATCAATAAATGCCTACCAAATGGGACAGTGACTTTGCAGAAACTGAGGATGTAAAAATATCTACCTCAAACTGTCCAATTTTGAACTGCATCTTCAGTTGGATGAATTTGGGAATCATTATTTTAGCCATACTAAGTCCTATTTTATTTGTATTTGTATAAATAAGAATAGCTTCTCATATGCCCCCTCCTCATTTTCAAACAAATTTATGGTTTTCCTATGGTGACCTGAGAATAAATCTTTTAGGTCCTAAAGGAAACTTGCAAAATGAACTGAATCTCCCAAAGAGTTCCTCTAAACTTTGCTTCCAAATTGTAGACCAATCTATTCTCTCCTTATTTGTTGGTAGGATATGACTTATTGACTTTCTCCTAGAGTTACTTCCTTCAGTTGAAAAATACTTTATGAACTTACCTCATTTCATCATTTGAGTACAGAGTATATTGATGTTAAAAAATAATAAAAGGTGAGTCAAAAGGTTTCCATTTTTTAAAATAATTGAGTTAAAGTAATTGCAATTTGGATTAATCAGATGATCACATCTGAGTTAAAATGACCCACTACAGGGGCGCCTGGGTGGCGCAGTCGGTTAAGCGTCCGACTTCAGCCAGGTCACGATCTCGCGGTCCGGGAGTTCGAGCCCCGTGTCAGGCTCTGGGCTGATGGCTCAGAGCCTGGAGCCTGTTTCCGATTCTGTGTCTCCCTCTCTCTCTGCCCCTCCCCCGTTCATGCTCTGTCTCTCTCTGTCCCAAAAATAAATAAACGTTGAAAAAAAAAAAATTTAAAATGACCCACTACATTAGTTTTTAGGGCCTTTGTCTTCTTACTTTGTTTACATTTAAAATTTTCATTTCTTATTCTCCTTTGTTTCTCTTCTCAATATTTAAAACACTTCAAAGCCTTTCTAATGGTCAGAGATTCTTACTTCTCTTTCAGGATCCCATTACTGGCACATTGTCTGGGAACCTTCTTCAGCACTACGCAGTGAGTGTCTTCTTAGAGCATCTCCTTCTTGCCATGTTTTACCCAGTCTTATAACTTTAGTTTCACCTGTTTTTTCCCCTACTAGACTATGACCTCTTTGAGGCTAGAGACCTTATCCAACTAACTTTTGTATCTCATAGCAGCAGTTTAATAAACATTGACTGATTTACAGTCTAAATGAATGGTGAATTGTACAAAAGAATGATTACATGGGCATCCCCAGTTTCATACTGGGTTTGATCAACTCACAGACAGGCCAGTGGTCCTCAGAAATGTTTACCAAGTTCCTGGCAGGCTTTAAACCATTGAATATAAGTCCATTTTCTCCCTGGGTCATGCCATTTAAATGTTTGGAAACTTAAAGTTATCTAAAGGTTCATTTCTAAATGCAAGGCTTTTACCAAACAGTCAAGAATGCAAAGCTTGAATGCCTAATGAGAAAAACAAGGGCATAGGCCTGCCCCATGCCATTCTTGGAAGAAGGACATGGCCCAGTGCAAATGGGAGGCCAGTGATACTTCAAGAAAACATTACTACCTCACTCAGGAATTTATTTATTTATTTTATTTTATATTTTATGTTTTATTTTATTATTTTATTTATTTTTTGAGAGAGTGAGAGAGAGAAAGCAGGGGAGGGGTAGAGGGAGAGAGAGAATCTTAAGCAGGCTCCACCCATGGAACTGGAAGCAGCACTCGAAATCAAGAGTCGGGCGCTTAAACCGACTGAGCCACCCAGGCGCCCCTCACTCAGGGATTTTAATTCAAAGATTCAAATTTGAAGATTTTGAGGGAGAACCTTACATGGTCAATGGACATAGAAACAAAAGGAAAGAGGAGAAGTAAGAAAGCTGTGCACTTACATGTAGGGGTTTCCTTGTCACCCAGAATTCACAAAGACTATTGAACATTTATACTTTCCTTATAATCATAGGTTGTGAATGAAATATTCTGTCAAATGCCTTCAATTAACTTATGGCTTAGACTGGTCAGTTGATGTGGCAACTATTAACCACCACAGGATCAGATTGGTTCTTATTTTACATCCAGTGTTTAGTATTGCACGGAATGCAGACAATAATATCAGCTTTACTAAATTATTGCCTCTTTGAAAACTTTATCTAAAAATGCATTTGCCTTAGTTCAACTTGATTTCTCTAATTTCAGTGTTAACAATTAAATTATTATGTAATCTAAGCTACAGGGGAATATTTAACCAAGATGAAAGTATTTTGCTTTTAAATACTGCCTGTTACTTAAGCTCCAGTGTATGTTTATATTGTTTGTTTTGTGACTTAAATATGTTTATTTATCTTTGAACAATATATTGCTTAGGTATTTCATTAAAAAGTACAGAGCTAAATAAAAGTTTGTAATAATTTATATCACCAAGAATTAACACCAGACCAAAATACATTTTACAATGTCTGTAAAGGATGATAATCCATTATTCCATAATTTTTACACTTCAGATTGTTGATCTCAAACTGTTGTTTTAGTTTCAAGTAAAATGTTGTTTTTATTTTTAAACACTTTAGTACTTAATAATTTTAAAAGTTCAAACGTTAAAGTTAGTAAGTTAAAAAACAGTTTACAAGTATCTCATATTTGAACTGTTAATTTAAAAAGTTTGTAATAATATACCATGTATCTTACCTCATCTAAATAAAATTGAAAAATTTAAGATTGTTTTGTTTTATATAAAAACATAAATATGATTTTAATAAGTATATCTCTGCATTTTGAAAATTCATTTATTATTTGTGACATTGTTGATGCAAAGTATGTGTCATTTTAAAATAGGTTTTCTTTCATAATTTCATAATTGAACTACTTGTTTATGGCTTTATTAGTCCTATGCAAGTTTAGAAATTTGTGTGGTGCCCATCAAAATAGTGACCATGTCAAAACTAAGTTAACTGACTCAATCCACTGAAACCCCAAGACAACTAATTAAATCATTAGGATGCATCCTTTAAATATTTAGACTTTGAGAGTTTTGTCATGGTAACTCTCACACCCGACCAAAGTAATTTCTTGTGAGCTAGTAATCGTACTAATAGTTCTGCTCTGCCTCCTCCCCCCACCGCAGTAAAGGATAACCATGTAATAACTTGCAACTCTTTGACTTGATCTAAATGTCAACCAACTGACTATATTTTCCTGACAGGATAGTTAGACTTAAAAAATGTGAATCTGTTCATGGGGAAATGAATAGATATTACTGTTTACAGCTTGGGTAGTCCTAACATTGAGGCAGGCAGGAGAACATAAAGCAATTATTTCAAGTTGGTAATAGAAACCCAAACAATGCTATATTTAGCAGCCTTGAGAACATTTTTTCCAATCAAGGACATTATTCTTTTTATGTTTATAAGACACAAAAATAATATCAGTATCTAGGTATCAGGAGTGGGGACAGATAGAAAAACAAGGGTTGAGTTTGCCAAAAAAAAAAAAAAAAAAAAAAAAAAAAAAAAAAAAAAAAAAAAAAAAAAAAAAGAAGAAAAAATTCCCTTAGCAAGAAGAGATCTGAAACACACACTTTTCAGATATTACACTCTATAGATATCTTGCTTAAAAAAGTGCTATGGGATGTGGTTAAAATGGAAATTTCTGATGGTTCCTTATGAGAAAAAATGTTTGCTAACAATTTCATTTTCATAAAGAATAATAATTTTTTCTATGATATAAGCAATCTTTTGGCATATAGTTGTTCCTTCTTCCTCAAATTGGATTAATTTATACTATTACAGTCTAGAGGAGTGCTGTGCAATAGAAATACAATGAGAACTTGCTAATTAAAAATTTTCTGGTAGCCGCTTTTAAAACATTGAAAATAAACAGGAAATAAATTTAATAATATATTTTATTTAGCCCAATGTATCCAAAAACTGATCATTTCAACGCGTAATCAACATAAACATTATTAATGCGACAGTTTATATTACTTTTCTTTGAATAAAATCTTCAAAATCTGGTGCGTATTTTATACTTTTAGCACATCTCAATTATGGGTAGTCACAAAACACTCAATAGCCACACATGGCTAGTGGCTACTGTATTGGACAGCACAGGTCTAGAGAAACTCTTTCCCTCAAAGACTTGAGGACGTACTGTTTTTCCTTCAAACCTTTCATCAATGCACACTTGTTTACATACTGCTTGACTTCAAGTGTTAGTCTAGGACAGCATGAATCTGAGCTTCTATGAAGTGCTTAACATATTGTTTGCTAATACAGAATTAATAATGAAAGTAAACAAAAAGAGGAATTCTCAGAGGGCCTAGCAATTTCTGAATTCGGGTCATCTGGCCAACTCTCACGTTTTAGTTCAATTTGTTCAGTGTACTATAAATGACTTCACTGGATTATGTTTGGTTAAATCTCTCTAAAAGTGATTGTAATAATCACAAAATACAAAAAATGCTGCAATAAAAACTATTCTACACTTACAACCTGTTGACTGAACAGTTAGTAAACAAGTTAGGACTCAGTGTTTCAAGAACTTATTTTGTACTTTATCAATTATGGTTACTCTAAGGACATTATCGAGAGAGCAGCAATTAGTTTCAGACACATCTGGAATCTATGAATGGGCAGCTGGCATTGACATACCAGTGATGAAGATGAGTCAATGTAGTCAGTAGTATGTAGCACTATGTCAGAAGGGGCTATACAGGGGATGCTTGGACAGACATATTTCAAGACACTAATACATTCACACAGGATAACAAGTAAGAATGTGGTATGGTACACGGATTGGATGCTATGGTTGCTATGAGAAGTACTCACTTTTTCAGATCATTCTGCTGCTTTTTGGCTTGTGCACGCCACTGGTGCATAGCAGGGAAGAAGCCACTTGTGTATAGTGGAAAAAGTATGTCAACTAATAAAGCTGTATTTGACTGAGAAATAATTGTATCATAGCTGTCACTAAATTAATTCCATAAAATTATCATCACAACAGATGCATTACGTTTTATGAATCAGAACTGTTTGCTGATTCATAAACTAGCCAGTATGCAACAAGAATATGATGCACCAAAGAAAGCATTACATAATCTTCATGCAGTAAAATTGTAACTAGAACCTCAAAAACAGTTAATGAAACATTAGACAGGGATTAAAGAAGGAACTTGCTACACACAAATGTTCTGAATATGAAAAAATGGTAATCACAATTTCTTTTCTAAATTAAAAAAATAAAAAATGTATTTTGTGTTAAATTTTAAATTCAAGTGTAGGTTATAATGGTAATTTTGGACCTTTGAAAGGGATTACTGGAAAGCACATAGCATTGCATGGTTTGGGGGAAAGAATCTTAGGTCCTGGGGCCTGTCCTAACTTGTGATAATCTGAAATGATATTGTAGTACAACTATGCCAATGGCAAATCTGGATAGGTCTTCTACTGATGAATATGGCTCTGTCGTTAGCCAAGAACTCCCAACTAGTTCTCACCTCCCTTAGCATTTACCTGAGGAACTCTGAGCTGCGTATTTTGGACATGGATCCTACAAAGGGTAGGAGATCGATGTAAAACTGTACATGTTTTACTATGTAAATTAAGTAAAGAATGGAGACGTTGGTAAATATAAAGCATATTTCTTTGTAACTACCACTATGTGTGACTGGGAAGAAGCATCTCTTCTTTATGGGTAAAAATCTCACAATATAAAATTTAACCCAAAGTCCTAGGAATCTTTAATAATTTTTTTTATTATTCAATTTTGATTGTTGTATGTTGTTATGATTTCCATTACTTACAACACAGTGTTTAGAATAAAATAAAACCACACATGTTGGCAGCAGCTGGGGATGTGATCTGATGATATTCTAAAAATAAGTTGCCATAATTTAGCTTTTGATATAAATGCCTTTCATGAGGACTGTAAATGGACATGTTTCTAATTCTAGACATGTTCATATAATTGGAACTGAATCACTGCATTTACTATTGCATTACAGAAAAAAGAAATGTTTAAGATAACAATCTAATCTAAATTATAAGATAAATGCAAGTAAAAATATTTTTCATTTAAAAATTTAAAACTGATAGTTCCACAGAGTGGTGATGAGTATACTATACATATTTATGTGGATTTTACAGGGTGTTTCAAAAGTCCCTGAGGACATACAGGATTCACAGTCTCAGCGTGTCTTTGCATACAAATGCAAACTTTTTTCTATACTTGTAATAATAAATGCTGAAAATGGCTCTCATGTGTGTATAATAGAGATGATATTTTTGTTTTCAAGGTCACTAAGTATAAGAAAGGTCACAAATGCCATTTTCTGCATGGGGACTCAGGGACTTCTGGCTCATTCCTGTAAATTAGGTATCCACATAAATATGTATAGACATATATGTAGTATGCATAGTCACAACATAAATATATTTAACATTTAAGAAAATTTAGATATTCTACTGGTAAACTGACATATGTATACAATAGAACTTGTATTTATTCACAGGAATTTGATTTTTTTTTTTTTTTTGGTTGTTGTTCAAATGTACCATTAGCTTAATTGTTATTTCTTTCCCAAAGTTGTTAACAAGATTCCTTTATAAAGAAGCAACATGGTTTACTTGCACATACATTTTTTTAAAACTAAAGTTGAGTCATGAACATTAATATCCACAAATGACTAAATGATGGAATTTTCCTTTTTTAGCAATTTTGTTTTTCATTTTATATTGTATAATTATTTCATTGAAACTGTGTTTTTTAAAAATTGGTTCAAGTTAATGTTTTTTTTTTTCTTTTTGCTAGTTAGAAATCACAATGTCTGATAGATTAACATATGTCAGCTTCCTACAGGAACCCTATGGGTCTGCCCACCTGTGATGTCATAGTAAGGAGGGGCTTTTCTTCAGCAGACTCCTCCCTCGGTATCTCCTTCATCACCATGGCAACAGCCTTATCTGCCGCCCTAGAGCCTTTTCCCTATAACAGTGAAATCAACAATGACTTGTGTCAGGAGAAATCTTTAACTTATTATTACAAGATATTCTAATGTTTAAAGAGCAATCCAACATAAATGAAGAGGTAGGCTGCTGCAAGTGAATCTTGAGGCTTTTGGCTGAGGAGAAAACACACAAAATCTGAAAAAAGATTATTTGTGAACTTTTAGTTACCTACTTTTTCACCTTTACAGCTGACATATTTAATTTTAACATAGTATTTTATATGTATAATATTTTTTAAAGCAATTTGCATGACATGAACATAATTTTTATAGTATTGATTTAAAAACACTATGGATTGTCTATTATGTTAATTTACAAATTGTTCCTATAACATTCTTAAATGTTTTGAATGACAGAGTCTGCATCTGAGATCGGGATTAGGATCAGTGTCTGACTCCCACAGAGGGGTTTTGCTGGGTGGTCCCTGGAGTCTGTCATTTTTTATTGGATTGGGCATAAAAAGAGTAAAAGTGTCATAAAACTTCTAAAACTTCTTCAGTGGCTTAACATCACAGAAATTCACCCAGCTTGTGTATTTTGTGGAGATAATATGACCTTGGCGAAAAAGTCTGCAATTCTCAATGTTTTTGAGATTGAAGAATTTTAATAGAAGTTTAGAAATGTCTTTTAATTGGAGAATCCCATAAATCTAGGTGTAAATAAAGGATGGTTGATAACTGAGGCACTGATATATGTGTGTGTGTGTGTGTGTGTGTGTGTGTGTGTATATCCCCACATTTTTTTGTTTCCCACAAGCAGAATTTGGGACTGTAAAGGGGTATACTGGCTTTCTGTCATTTTAGTTTACCAGACTATTAAGTTTTTGTGAGTAGATATGGCATAATGGAAAAAACAAAACAAAATATCACCTTCCCAACCCAATTAGAAACATCTTATACTATGTAAAAATTAAATAATCTCTAACCATTTTAAAAACAAAACGTCCATTTTTTCAGGTCTCTGGGCAAAGCTTCCCTAGAGAAAATAATTTTATACTAAGAGCACATATGAATATCTGTGCTGTAAATCTACTTAAAATACAAATGTAGCATATAGAGATATCATAGGCAAAGATACAAAAATGAACATATGGGGGTTTGTTATCTGAAAGGTAATTAAGAGCTAGGGTCAACAATAACTCCAGAGGTTGATAAATCTTGATAGTTTCCATGCAGCAAAAAAGGATGGAAGTGCATTATTATCTTGGGCTTGCAAGAGGGCTTTTAAGTATTTAGAAGGTAGGTTTACTCTAGGAAGCAAAACTGTCTATTTTCTCAGGCATTGCTTCTCTAAAATGTAATGAGTGGCAGCTTTTACTTATGAAAACAAAGAAAAACTTTCTCTATAGATTTTAACATGTGTGAATCTCTTTACAAGGCGGAAAGTTTCTTTGGTGTGTTTTGACTTAAGAACTAACATTACTGAATGATAATGTGTTATCTCCATGATGGAATATCAACTACTAGAGATTTTATTAGCACATATAACAGTAGTAATTTCCATATGTGTTCTGGAAAGTTTATATGGCCACAATCCTTAGAATAACTGACTTCTGGAAAAATAAAGAAAAACAATGATTTACTGCATAACAAATTGGGGTGCATAATGATCCCAGGTTTTTTCTTTATGAAGCAATGTGAACTTCCTAAAACAGAGATGCATACAATTCTGAATTCTGGGAAAATATTTATTATGGCACTATTAAACTATTTAACATTTTTTCAAACTATAAACATTATTTGGATGAAACATTACATATTATAAAGTGATATTGCTTTAAAAGCTACACTCATTTGTAGACTAAATATAGTTTAACAAATATATTTGCAGCTTATTTTTTTAAAAGAGCAAAATCATTTGTGAAGAATTCTTTCCATGCTCCAAGAAGTTCTAATAATATAGCAATAAACAAAGTGGCATGCTTATATTTAAATTCCTAATATATTTAAAATAACAAGGTATACTTTTAAAATAATAATAATAATTCAGAATCTGCTCTTGGGCTAAGAAAAAGATGTCAATTGATAAGCATCTCAAAAAATTTCAGGTCAATATTTCAATATACCATTTATTTGAAATGCTACCAATCATAAACTACATACAGATATTTTTCACATGTGCAACTATTATAGCTAGAATTAGCAACGGACATGCCATTTCACTAAAACAAAAAACAAAACAAAACAAAAATTAGTCCTTTCATGCTGAACTCTAGAACAAAGCAGTGGTCAGCTAGAAAGGATGTATAATAAACACATGCGGTGCTTTTTATTTCTTGCAGAAAAACCCACCAAAGCCAGGGTCAGGTCACTTTTTTGAAGACAGTGCCACTTTTTCTTCAAGGTTACACCTACTACCTGAAAAGAGTCATGACACCCATGTTAGTGCCTGCTAGCAACTTTTTTTCTTTACACCTTTTGGCTTTTGAGTTATTACCCCACGAGCCTCACTGTTCTACAAGTGTAGTACCGTCGGAGAACAGAACGGGAAGGTCCGCCACAATGACATCTCCATGGTTCCAGACAGAGCGTATACAACCACTGGCAAATCAAATGAATATGCTCATATAGCAAAGCAAGATTTCCCCCAGACCATATTGCCACCTCCACCTGGTATCTTCAAATCAAGCTGTGTTATCTCTGACATGTCCATTTATCTTGTGGGGGTAACACTTCTAGAATTCAGAACTTGGCTGATAATGGATTTGGCAATTCAGGGAACGATACTACTCTGCTTATCAGCAGCTGTGCAGGGCTGACAGTGATACACCCATACAAGTTTTTTTGTTTTTGAAGTCAGTGGCTTAAAACATTGTAAGAAATATGTATGCATAATTATCTAGACTTCAAGCTCAATTTTCTAAATATAACCACACCAAAGACTCAATGTTAATCTATTATCTGAAACAATACAGAGAGAGCAAAAATGAAATATATGCTTAAGCATACAAGTGGATTTAGAGTACATTAAGCCTGTATGCTTCTGTGTAATTCTTAGCAACAACAGAAAAGAATAGTGCAATGTTACAAGTTGATTAGCACATTGGGACACCTTCCAGCAATTTATTTCAGCCTATTTCTTTTCGAATAATACTTCAAAATCACCTTTCCTCACTTCCTTTTTTAATTTCTTGAGATGATATTGACTGTTTGGAAAACATCACCATATGTAGAGATTTCTATTTTTCTTGGTGATTTTCTGTAGAAAAATTTCCAATATTCTTTTTTTTTCTTTTATCACTTTGTTTCCTCACCAGTGATATATATAAAATAATCACTTTTCTAACAAATAATAATTCTTGAGAACAATCTTTTTGTTAACTTCTATTATAAGATCAGGCATACATGAATGAAATGCAGATAGTACAGCAAGTGACATTGACATTTATTAAGAAAATCTAATTTTGGCTCACTTGTCTGTGTTAACATAGTACATAAACAACAGAGTACAAAGTACTGAAGTCACAGGATCTTCGCAGGCTGGACACCAGGCTGTGAAAGCTACCAGACATCTTTGGATGTGGAGGTATTGGCTCCAGGCCGGTCTCATACGGAGGAGAACTAAATTATTTGGAGAAGCTTCTATGTGCTGGGTACTCTGCTAGGTGTTCTACCTATTTTTACTTGTACCATCACATGAAAGCTCTGTGGGGCACGAACTGTCTTTGCCAGATTGATAGTGAGGTGTGTGTGTGTGTGTGATGGTGTGATTTGGCTGAAGCCTCAAAGCCAGTATGTGGCTAAACCAGGACTGAAGGCACAGCCACCTCCCAGACTGTGTGCTTCCTTCTCTCCCACATCCGCCTCACTGATTGCTATAAATGCAGGTTGTTTATACCACTTAAGTTTCGAGAAGGAGCCACTTCTCAGTATTAATCGCAGAGTGTGGGTCTAAGGAAATATTTTTGAAAAACGTTTTCTTCAGTGTGCAACGGTCAGTAAGAATCAGCCATCCATAACTTCACTCATGAGTATATTTTGAATGAAATGTTTTTGTTTCTGTTATCATTATGGAAAACTAACCTGCAGATTTCATGTATATACACTTCTTTTTATTCCGTAGATCTTATCAGGTTTATAAGCTTTAGCATCACTTTAATTCTTATTAAATGTTAACTTGATGCTATTAAATGCCATCTTTACTAGGATTGTCCTGAGGTTTTGGGTGCACAAAATACTTCAAGTGTACAATTCCAAAGTTACATGTCCCATTCATAAGCAATTTTGTAGTTGCAAATTCTATTACTGCTACTATGCAGATTGTAATTTAAAAATCATTTTTATTATTCTTAATCTATCAACAATAATCCAGAGTGCCTTCAACAGAGATATTCAAAAGTAGAAATGGAGAAAAAGTAAGTTAGGGGAAAAGTAAAAGACTATAATACTAAACATCACTGTTAACCCCAAATTATCTAATATATGAATTTAAAAAATAGACTTTCTTTTGTTATAATTATAAAAATTAATACATGCTGTTGCCAAAAATTAAGAAAAAGCACTAATAAAAAATAAAAATAGCAAACCTGACATTTTCATGCATTTTCCCAAAGTTTCATATTTACAATATTGGAGATTAAACAGTTTTTTAGGATGAATGTTTTAAGAATAGGCAAACTACCATCAACTTTACAAGTTTGAGTGTATTGAATATATTTCTTCATATATACATGTAGGCAAGCAAATACTTGCCACTGATATTAGTTTAACAACGTTGTTTTAAATGAAATGATATTCAGTTTTGCATATGCTGAAAAATGATAAATCTCATAACTTCTGGACCCTGGACTTAAACGCACCTGTAAGAAGCTACCCACAAAAAAGCTAATTTCTGATGGTTGTCTTGTCTCTCACGTGCAGAGACAGGATAACCTTTTTTTACTTGGGAAGATAAATGTCATGGTAAGTGTCATTTTCCAACATGGGAAAATGTCAGAACAATGCTTCCTGGTATCCTCTGAATGCTGGTGATCCCTGC